ATAATGGCTACTTGCCATCAATGCTATCGATAATAAAGGAAAATATTGTGAAATCATTACTTTGGATGGAAAAAATCTCACATTTCTGGATATCCACGTTGTGCATCCCGCCGTTGCGTATCCTGTCTGATATATAGCGCCCTCTGTTGAAAAAATGAACAGCGCCCTCTTCTGACATTGAAAGAGCAGCTCATTAATAGAGCCCCCATTGGCAATAGTCAGGGCGCCCTCTCTGGCAATGCTACTCGATGGTAGTTTAAAAGCGCCCTCTACTTAATAGTCAGCAAATGAAATAGCGCCCTCTATTAATATAGAACAAATCAAACAGCAAAGCCATCAAAAATTACTATGCCGCCCTCTGTAACTTAGGTCACGGAATACGACTCAAGAACACTGTTCTCGGAACAGGATCACACACCACCCCCTCATCAGAGTTGCACAGGAACACACGGGAAAACTCGTGAGTGTTTGATTTTTGGACGGCAACAAATACAGAGATGGCTTCCAAAGCCAGAGATGATGGGAATTTTTGCAAAATTAATATTGATTATTTTCCATAAAACAGAAATGACTGTTCCTCTTTAAATAGAAAAGAATTCAGCCCATCCAAACATTAACTCTCGATTACTAAACGTTGCCTACATGGACGCCGCCATGTTGCATGCAGCTTGTCACCAACTACCAGCGATAACCCGTTGTTTGTTCCTGGCGTTCGAGCGCGACACACGAACAAAAATGTGTTGCTCGTGAACATACGAGAACAAGTCGCCCGAACTCAGCCTTAGAGTGAATCTCAATTTTGTAGAATGGCGCTCTCGAATAATGACCCCATTTTTATAGAATCAATAGCTTCCTCTTTTGATCTTTGCCTTGGCTTGTTTTCTGTATTCTACGCAGAAACCTTTGAAAATTTGTCAATTTCAAGGTGTTTCCGTAAAGTTCATAATGTGATTTTTTTCTGCAAAGAACGCCCTTCCTGATACCTCCCAGGTAAAATATCACCAATCTTATTTGCACTTAAGTCAGAGTTTTCTTTAACATTTTAATACAACTATATCCTTCATGCATGTTTATGATCAACCAGAGGCAAACCTCTCACGGGACTGTAGGCATCATCATGTGCCCACCATTCATGTTGCTCGAACGTACACACAGAGAAAATACGCATTTGCAGAGGAACTAACTAGCACATGGGTATGTGTGAGTTTGTCTGTGTACATCTTCGAAGCAATCGAGTAACTGCAGCATGGGTGTAATGTGCACTTACAAGCATCACCTCTGCAGACACATGAAGTGACGGGTATTCTTAACCCTCCACTGCAACAGGGCCGATTTTTTCATGTTAATGCTCGGACGCTGTCATATCAGTATCAGCTGAGTTCACTGCACAGAACCTACTTTTTACACCCATTGCACCAAGGTGATCGTTTTGAGATCACTTCCGTTATAACCACAATAATGTGACACCCCCAACACAATGAAACCACTCAGACAGCTGTCTACAGCTCAGAGACACATAAGAGAAACCGACCATTGATATAAGACAGGCCCAGGCTTTCGCAGGCTTTCCAAGGCTTGCCCAGGCACTTTCTTTGTCAATAACCCCTTATCAGCACGTAGTTTAGATATTTACATAGAATCCCCATGGGACCTGGCTGGAGGTGAGCTCTGGAAAAGAATGAAGCAGCTCAGGGGAAGTCCTCATGTTAAAGGTGACTAAACTAGGCTGTTCAGCATCTACAGAAATGCAAATAACAGGAGGTTTTTGCATTTGGCCGATTTTTTTTTTAATTACGTAATTACAAAAGAGGGGATCATGATAGTAGCCATTCTGATCTGCGCAATCAATTAGCATTTTTCTGAGCCTTTTGTGCGTCTAAACTGGATAGGTTTGATTTTACAAAGTTTAAATGAATTTTATGGAGCTGTAGAAAACATAAATAACACGGCATTTTATTCAAATGAATTAATTTTAATATTAAACCTCAGAAAATGAATTCTCATTTTTCAATACCTCAGAGAATACTATTGACTAATCGGCTATCCAAACTGAAACCATGTTATTAGTACACAGTAATCACGAATACCACGTCGACTTTCAACTGAGCTTTTCA